ACTAAAACCAGGCACACCTGTCAAACATGAATCATCAGCAGACATGAGAACAACAACTTTTGATGGATTGAAAAATAAAACATGCTCAAGGAACAAAATCACAAGCCATAACAAAGATCTTCTAACAAGGGAAATAACCAACTTTTCACGTAAATGAGACTTATTACGGTGATTGCGTCCCTTTAGTCATATGGCGAGGCGTAAATTCATTGTTTTGTGAAAAAAAACGAAAAAAACGTGAAAAAACGTGGATAATCCAAAATTTTGCAAATGTTGCAGAATTACGCGAAAAAAACGCGGCCACGCCGGGGCCGCAGAATCGCATAAACCTACGGGGACAGAAGAACATAATCAAACAAAACAAGCACGCGACTGGATGCTAAGAACTAAAGCAAGCACAAATTAATCCACACCCAAACAAACTAACAAACTAAAGAACAAACAAAACAAATACACTCACCGCCCACGGCCGGCTCTTGTGAGCTGACCTTGACACACACACCCCTGTCGGGCACGCCCCTTCGGGGATTCCCCTCGTCCACAATACTACACTCGTATCCGTGTGGGCAGAGCAAGGGGTCCGAATCGTCGTCAGGGGGCGTGGTGCTGCACATCTCCACTGCATGGTGCGGGAGTTGAGGATAAAAAGGGGGAAGGGGGTATGTGGAGAGGAGGTATGAGTATTATGCAGTTTTATGTTTTGAGAAGGATAAGTTTAGAGAAGAAGACGAAGAAGAATTTGGTTTGAAATCATAACCTTTCGGTTACGATCCCGGTACTCTAACCACTAGACCGCCGATGCCTTAATTTATTTCTCCCCGTAGGATTATGCAAATTTAGATGGGTAAATTATGCACAAAAAAAGCAAACTTATGAAAAAATTATGCAAGTTACCGTAACACCATTCGCGACATGTTTTGCACTTTTTCAACACGAATTTTCATGATTTTCATGTTTTATGCACAGAAAAATTGAAAACAGAACATATCAGCAGTATCAATAATTTGTTGTGTATTTGGAAAGAAAACAATACACATCAGTCAGAAAAAAACCCCAACCCAACAATATCATCTCTGTAACTTTCAGCTGTAGATCTAGATTCTAGATCTATAGAGGAAAGAAAAAGGTAAAAAAAAATAAAAAAATTTAAAAGGACATCTGGACTCTGGACCTCTGCTGATGCTGGCACATTACTAAAACCAGGGACACCTGTCCAACATGAAGCATCAGCAGACATGAGAACAACAACTTTTTATGGATTGAAAATTTAAACATGCTCAACTTGGCTCAAGGAACATAATCCCAACCCATAAAACCAAGATCTCCTAACAAGGGAAATAGAGAACTTGTCGCTTATTACGGTAATTATTTCCCTTTAGTCACATGCGAGGCGTTAATTAATTGTTTTGTGATTGAATAGGTATTTTTATATGTGAACTTGTCGCTTATTACGGTGATTATTTCCCTTTAGTCACATGCGAGGCGTTAATTAATTGTTTTGTGATTGAATAGGTATTTTTATATGTGAACTTGTCGCTTACTACGGTGATTATTTCCCTTTAGTCACATGCGAGGCGTTAATTGT